CTAAGGCCCACGTAGAATCCTCTCCACCCCGAAGTTTTCCAGATCCACAGGGCGGTCTCTCCCATTCCTAGCATGGCGCCCGGCCTTATGATTCCTCCAACCTGCTGTCTCCTCCGGATCACTTCAAAGGGATACGCAGCGGTCTGACTGATTGCGCCTGCCAGCGCTCCCGCGCTAAGATCCACCATCGTCTTGGAAGGCCACCACCATTTCCTTCTCGCTCTCAATGATGACGGCTCGTTCGGAGACTCTTGTGGGAATGCGCCTTGAAGCAGCGTTTTACACCGCCCAAATACTAGGAAAGATGTTCCTGCATATGGGACCATCCCGAGCACTGTAACGCTAAAGCCTCGATAGAACTTCAAGAGTGGCATGCGTGCTAACATAGCTGCTCCTGCCTTTACTGTCGGTGTCGGTGGGGCTGGTGGCACTGGCGATGCAGCGGTTGCTCCGGCTGCAATGGCTTGTGATTGAACAGCACTGGTAGTCAAGCCAGCCGACGCTGCTGTGTGCGCCGATGTACCAGAAGCGACATTCGCAGCTCCCGCCGCTGCTGATGAGCTCGCAACAGCAGCTCCAGGCCGACCAGCTCTTCGACGTGCATCTCCCGAGAAAGGCGCCTCGGTGCTCCCCTCGGTATAGATCTTTCGCACTATCCGCATGAGCGACCCTGAACTCTTCTTCCTCTTCGTCTCGAATGCTAACCGCACCCGTATCAATTCGAGCGGATACGTCAAGAAGACTGACAGCACCCCTGCGTTCCCCCGCCAAGAAAGTCTCAGCTATGCTACAGCTCCAAGAGCGGCAATAGCCAGCACAGGCCTCCCACTCACCTGAGGTGGAGCCTGCAAGGAATAGGCGGGTCGATGTCTCCTGCTCGGGCGTTGGCATCAGAAGCTGCAAGGAAGTGACAGAGATACACAGATGAGGTCACCCTCTTCAATCGGAGAGCAGTGATCTTCCAGTTCGACTCACGAAATGCATCCTGTCATACGCCATGTACTTGATAGCAGCGTAGGGAAATATCCTCAGCAGTGTAGCAGAATGACCTTGAAAGAGCGCTGTGGGTCCTTGATCTCTGACAATAGAACCTGCAGCTGTAAACACTCCGGTCCATTTACCTGTGAGGTGTAGACGCGCGGCGAGCAACGGTATGAGGATTCACACGATCAAGCAGATGGTGGCGCTGCCAACTCACCGCTATACTTCTGGAACTCTGGATTTTGTGCTTGGAAGAGGATTTTGACCCGATCCAGGGGAGCGATCGCTGTCTTGGCCTGCATACACGGAGAGTTTTGGATTCAGAGGGCGCCAGTTAGAGGTAATAGTGATGCTGGGATGCTCGGTCGATTGCAATGCTATCAGACAACCAGGGCAAGCTTCAACCCCAAGCACCACTCCGCACCCTTCCGTCCTAAGGCAAGCCGCCCTCCGGAGTAGCTCAAAGCCCGCAGAGGACCACACAAAGGAGCTAGCTTGTCTGGTCTTACCCTCTGGCGGTCGAAGCTGCGTTCAGCACTCTCCTCAAAGGTGCACTCTCCTCGCTCGTCGAGTTGGCCGCCCTCTACCTAGTTCTAGTGACCTTCACAATCATCGTTGGATCTATGGCCGCCTTCCTTCCAAATTGACTCACCACACACCCTGCCACACCACCTGCCACACCACTGCGGAGGACATAATCCAAGCTTTGCTTATCCAATGCTCGTTTCCCTTTTGCACTCGTGTGCGTACCATCCACCTCTCTCGCCTTGCCCTTGTCCAGGCTCTGGCTTGTCAGGCGGTCTTCGTGTAAAGCAGATGAGCTCTGTGACCGCTGAGGCTCAGCAGTGGCCGTCTGACCATGGGCTGACGCTTCGTCGGTCTCGCATACTGGCGGCGAATGTTTGGCAGCGGGCAGGCGCGCCATCCTTCTTCTTGCCTTTGAATCCTGCCTTCCAAGTGATGAGCTACGTCGAGCCGTTAGGCGTGTTGAAGTGGGAAACGCTACAGCAGCCCGACTCAATGAACTTCGGTGTTGTGCGATGGCGGTGGTCAGAGTCGGGACGGGCTGTGCAAGGAGAGGTCGAAGGTTGAAATGCGCGTCCTCGGATAGGTCAGGAAGTCACAGACTTCAAGCGAGCGAGCGAGTGACAGTTCGAGCCGCGCGAAACGCCTCGCGAAGTTAGCCGCGGGGGTCGGGCGCGCCTCCGCGCTTGTCCGATCCGCCTTTAGCGTGCAGCGCGCGCGCATTGCCCCGATGGCCGAGGCCGGTCGGTCATCGAGTCCAGCCAGGGTTTGCAATCTGCTCGGTTACGTGCGAGAAACACCATCTAAGGAAGCGTCATCGCTTGGTACAACTCCTTGATCAAGATAACAGTCGTGAGGAAGGGACATGGCGAGTCCCATCATGAATTCATGCCTGCACCTGATAGGTAAAGTAGTCTCACAGTCATGCCAGCAGAGAGCGCGTCCAGACGCTTTCTAGGCATCGACCTCTGGCCACTTGTCCAGCAGCTCGTCCCACAGCTTCTCTCCTCTCTTCCACATGTCAATCTGACCGTCCACAAAATCTCCCAATAGCTCCTTCATCTCGTACTCCTTGGCCATTGTGAAGACCGTATGTTCTCTAGCCACCTGCTGAGAGAAGGCAACACTGACATCGTGCGAGGTGGTCACTGCTTCTTGCAGTTCGTTGATACGACCATCCAGCCTCTGCATCCTTTGCACACGCGTCCTTTCCTCGTCCACGCCCCTCACGCTGTCGAATCTGTCGCGTAAGTAGCCTCCAATGCCTGGTCCGCGAACCCCACCATGCCCGTGTCCTGCACCGTGCGGGCTGCTCAAGGATGCGAGGCGATCTCTCTCTGTCACAACGCCCGAGAGGTAATCCGTAAGCTCTTCAAAGTCCAGCTGCTTTTGATCTCTGAGTCGAAGGAGATTGCGATGAGACGACGCGTACGCCAACAAAGCGTGTACTGAGGACAGCAAGTCGTCAGTTGACCGAGAAGCCTGTAGATAGAGGAGGTCATACACGATGGGCTTAGCTCGACATCACATGATTCCCAAATGCCATGCACAGACTCACGAGCTGCTTTTGCATTCTAGACCATTCCATGTTGGCTGCAGCGAAGCGATTCAGAGGGTCTGTGATGCCGCTCTCCAAGTAGCCGAGACCTTCGATTGCGCCTGCAAGGTCTTCGTAGTCCGTGGCGAGGTCTTCAGAATCAACGCCAAGATTTGGCGAGTAGAGTGCAGGGGACGACAGGGGAGATTTGAGCGTCGGTTTAGAAGCAATTGGCGATGCGGTGGATATTGGAGCCAGTTTGGAAGGCCGTGTGCGAGAGGACA